TGTTGTCAAATTCTCCCTTGAGCAATCGGACATGAATAGAAACATACGATTTCATTCCATCATTGGCTCCATTGAAATTAACTTCTAGCCTTAACTTGAATCCATTTGAGTCAGTGTAAAATGGTTGACTGATGTATTCAGTGTTGTATGACAAGTGTTGAGTGACTCCAGTTACAGTAAACTCTGCTAGAGATTGAGGTAGCCTAACCATTGACTCTTTCCAATGTGGAGTCTTCTCCAGCAACCGTGTACTGTAGATGACAACATCATATATTCTGATACGCATGCAGTCGTCTAACAGATACTGCACAGGGGAACTATTTGTAGGAAATAAGGAACCAAATTCAATAGCTTTTGAATTACCCCAACCATGTCCCAGTTCATTGGCCTGGTCAACTCTTGTACGAGAACTATGCACACTATCTTCATTGACTTTTAAAACTACTCTATGGTGATGAGAGTCATGCATCCAGTTAAGTATATCCACGACCACATCTGCTGTGAAGGGCCACTTCAATTCATTGTCATACTCTCCTTTCATCAGAACACAATAAATAGAAACATGAGAATTTTCACCAAGGCCAGTACCAGCAGGATAGACTTTGAGACACATTTTATAACCTCGATCAGATGAATAAAATGAAGGGCTCCAAAATACATTTTGAAGTCGAATCCTCTCAAAAAAATGAGTGATGGTGTGCTCAATAAAATATGATGCCAACCAACTCTTCCAAAGTGGTTTTCGAAAACTCGAAGGACTTGAATAAACAATCACTTCCTTTATACAAAATCTCAGGCAGTCATCTTGCAGATATTCTGTATCTGTGGTGCTATTGTATCCAAGAGAAGCATACGATATAAAAGCATCAGTGCCACAATTAGAAAGAGCACATTCTCCTTTAGTAACTTGAGACTTTGACTCAAAAGGTGTAAGCTCATTAAAGGAAAGTGTGCATGAATAATGTGAAGCATTTTGTCTCCAATTGAGTAGTTCTACAACTATGCTAGCTTGCAAAGGCCACACAAGATTATTATCATTGTTGCCTCTCATTATTCGAGCATATAGACCAATGCTCTGTGGTTGTAATGACTTCTGAACTTCCAGGCGTAGCTTATATCCATTAAGATGCGTAAAAAATTCAGGGCTGTAGAATGTTCTATTGAATTCCATTCGTTTCAAAACATTAGTCATAGTGAATTCTCCAAAAGGTGACAATGAGTTTGTACTTTGCCATCCAGGACATTTTGAACAAAGATTTGTTGAATACACAATTACTTCTCTTATCCTAAAGTAGAAACAATCGTTATTGAAAAAATAGTCATAAATATTCGAGATACGAATAAATTGAG